TATGACAGTACAGTATAGCACAGTAGGATTGGCTAGCGTACTCATACTACAGCACAATCCTACAATTGTCAAGGTTAATATGATTATATACGCCTACAGTATTAGCCGGCTATGATACAGAATAGCCGGAATGCGCATTTTAAAATAACGTACAGTATATTATTATTCAATTGATTTATTCATACAGTAGTCAATTTTTACATCAAGGAGGTAATGAATCATTTGACACAATCAAATATCGACTCTCAGTAGAAGTACTGTACGATATACATTCATACTATTATAGTAATACAGAGACTGGCTAAAGAAAGATGGTTTCCAAATAATAAGGCCAACTATCATACTTGCACTCGAAAACAGTTGTCTCATTTACGCTAATGGGTAGCATAATAACGTCGCGATCAGTAAACTATACTTATCAGGGATCAATTCAGGCAAAACTACGGTAAATTAGCAACCATCAATTCCTTATTAGCATGAAATATTACCCAAATTAGCGCTTTAATTTGTGAATATGAATATATGAAAGTTAATTCTTTATGAAAGAGTCATTCAAGGCATTACCCTTAGCATGTAATAAGTTCAATTGCCAGTGTTAATTGTACAGTATAAATTTCCCTCTCCCTTCCCCCTCCTAAAAGATGCTGAACGCCACTTTGTATCTATTTTGTTAAATCAGAGACTTCTAAGAGAATTTTCTATAATTCAATAAATCCAGTATCAGTATCCGAATTCTTTTAGCAAAAATTATAGGCTTAAAAATTAATTATTAGAGAAAACACGTTAAGGGAAGATTGTCATGTGATAGTCACTTGTTAATTGAAAAATAAGCCAAGTTCAAGTGCACTATATAATGGTAGATATGCACGGTAATTAATATTCTAATTTATATACAGTTCATTGTTAAAAAATAAAACGACACCGAAAACCTAATTTAAGAATAGTAATATACAATATCCACGTACGTGAGCATATTTATCATCCATCCATGATTTATGCAATCGTTTAACTCGTAGAACTACAGCAATGTAAAGTTAAATCATAGTAGTATAAACTATCAAAGTACACATTAGAAATAGCCTTAAATTATAGTAACTAAACACCAATACACTATAATCGAAACATTACAAGTCCTTGATGTCGACATGATATTCACCTAGAGCAACATGTGCTGCATTGACTTTCTTGAATAAAAAATACAATTATATTACCATCATAATAGTGGTAAAATAAGTAAATCATAGATAATAATCAGTATAGCTTACAATACATCGTTTATTTTAACTATAAAAAAGATTAACCTACGACAATCAATTGTTCCGATATTATCCCCCAAAATTGTGATCATTTTCTTTCACGCATTATGGAGAATTTAAAAACAGCAGAGGACGATATTCACTTTAAAAGCATGAAACTGTGTAAGTGAGAACGAGCTAAGTTTGGACCATTAATCTTATACTACTAGTATTGTATCTCCTTGAAATAGTTAATGTTACTGAAACATAAAAAGTTTTTTTAACTTTAGTAGGTGTACACCGATACTTCATAAGCTTAAAAGCTCACCTTTCGATAGACAGCAAATGCGACATGACTTTACGCTCTTTCGAAATAGGCTGCATTGATTTATCGGCAGTACCAATATATGTTTAATCAAGTGATTTATGTATCTATAGAACATGTTATATCCTATCGGAAACTTATCTGATATTTTATTAAGATATTGCACTTTATTTTCTAATCTAGACTTCAATCCCAACCGCATTTACAAACAACTAGAAAATGTAATTTTTCATTTGTTTTTAGAACTGCATTTTACGTAACTCACTCCTTCAAACTATGTACAGTTACCTGAATACAATGCTTTAATTACAGGCTGGATTTACTGGTAGTAAGCTAACCGTGGAGCAAGTCTCAAAGTTCGATAATTATCACTACTATGGTACTAAAGCTGTTGACGATTGCATCGAAAAATTACAGATAAAGTATGATGTTATCCTTTAGTTGAATTTAGACGTAGGCTTCACAAACCGAACGATAGATAGATTTCAGATAACATCTTCATTCTTTCAATTTTGGGGGTGAAAATCAATTAGACACTAGTGGAGACTTTAAAAAAAATTGTTTAATGTAAGGTTTATTAAGTAATCTCTGAGGCCCTGACTCTAGAACGCTTGCCACTGAATAACGGCAATCTTAGTTATGTTTGAGATACGCAGATATACTAGTAAAGACAAGAAAAATATAACAATCAATACACCTCTTCTAATAAAAGATGAACGTTGTACCGTTTACGCCTTACTCTAATAATACTACTGTAATAAAATCGATTAATCACACCACTATAACTTCACATCTAATATAAAAGCTGAAAATACGAATGACTGTTAACAGGAATTTCACCTATCGCATCAATGTTACTTGCTAAAATATTGCGATGCCCCTTTAAATCAATTTCTATGCAACTTCAATGATAGTTTTGAGCAAGATAGCAAACGGTTGTAAATTGTTCGTAAATTAACTCTACTTATAGCAAACTTTACAAATACTGGCTAGATTCAACATACTGCAAAATTTCTGCTCAAGTTTATTTAAACCGATTATGAATAACCATTACTTAATTTGTGCAGTAAAACCTTTCAAGTACTTGATTTTGGCTCAGGAATTGGTGGTCCAGCTCGTCACCTTGCAAGCAAAAGTCGTTGCCGTGTTAAGGCAGTCGAAATTCAAGAGGACTTGAATAAAATTGCAGCAGATCTTACCAATCGCTGTGGCCTATCCGATCGAATTGATCATGTTAGGCAAGATATTTACAAACTGGACACAGGTAAAATATCAAGTAGACCATGTTACTAAATTTAGATAGCATATAAATATTCCTTGTCGATAATTCTTACGAAAAACCTTAAATACGTTACTGTATCAGCTTCATGTTGTTGATACTTTAACGAATAGTTAATAAGTAATCAAAATTACGCATTCGTAGACTAAATACTTTATTACTTATATCAGTATCTCTGTAGAAGTTAAGTTCTTATTGGTGTAATAATTATAATCCAAATAATGGCAAGTGCTGTATTTTACTGGTTATAAGGAAAAAACTAAAACACAATAGCAACTGGAAATTCGTTTTTACAATATACAGCATGATACTATAACATCCATAAGATTAACTTTATACGTATGCAACATTAGACCTACTACAGCTCTGAATTTTCCACTTTAAATATTTTTAATTTCGAAATTCTACTCATACTTTACCTTTTATTGACATTATGACTTCAGATTCGAACTACTTCGATTGTGCTGTTAGCTGGCTGGCAGTTAATCATATAGAAGATAAAGCTGGCCTATTCGAAAAACTGTTTACTATGCTAAAGAAGGGTGGGAAAATGTACGTCAAGATATAAAATTACAATGTAGGAAAACTAAATAAATCTTAACCTTAACTGTGTTTACCTTATCTTTAGCTATATAGAAGACTTTTATCAAAAGGGTCCCGTTACCGAAAATGAAAGAGAAATATTATTCATTGACGATCTTCCTACTATAGAGGAATATCGTAAATATCTAGTTGATGCTGGATTTATTAATATTGAGGTAACATGGCGCATTTATAGCTTAGTTCTTGGTTGAAAATACTAATTTTAATAGCACTACGGAATATTATATCTATAATTCTTTAATCTAACAGATTCTAAATGTTACCTCAAGCTGGATTAAATTCGTTACAAATCGTGCAGAAGTTTTTGCTAATGAGCGTGCACAAAACTGTGCATCCTTTGGAGAAGAAACTGTAAATTCTTTGCAAGATTTCTACGATGGCATGAAGAGCCTATATGATACGAATACAATTGGTGGAGTTCAAATTTATGCGCAGAGTCCAAACAATTAATACTGCATTTTGATTACAATACCTCCGATAAATTGAAAAAATACTGCATGATTACAGTTAAGATTTTATACGTCATCTACAGTTTGATAACTAAAAGTAGTAAATTTACTTAGATAAATGGAATCCTTTACCAATACTGGATTAGCCTATCGTTCACATATAATTTTAATACAGGAAATATTCCTGCTAACTGGTAGAGTTACATATTCTAAACTCATCCGCACTTTGTAGTAGCATGACGGAGGATTTGATAAGTCGATGGAAGTTGAAGCAGTTATCAATATACCGTAAAGTGCCTATTTATAGGATAAAATTTTTTTATACTACGTGAGATAATTATTAATTATGCGTCCAATTGTTCTTGTATCAGAAACTGATCATGCCAATTTATCGAAATTTATTTGTATTGTTCAATGTTGCAAGTTACAGTGTCATAAAACAAATTAATGATAACGTAATTTAACCTTCTTTTACGAAAATTTTCTTTCTTCATGGTATCATACCCTGAGTTTCAATACATGTATTTAAAATACGAAGGCAAATATCTCATCAAGGTTAACTGCAATACGATAATCTACTATTGCATATGATATGCAAAGGAGTCTTATATTTTTATACATTATCTAGAAATGTCTGCACACCGTAGAAACGCATTTAGGGCAATGCATATCTCATTTCAATATAATAAATTAAATTCTGAACTTGAAATGATCACTTTTCGGCATAAAGAGAAATACAGTTATTCTTTCTACTCATATTTTTGCTATCGGTGATAGTCGTATATTCGCCATAGCATACCGTTTGCGTGCTTACAAATATAACAAAGTACAAAGTAATCATGCAGACAATGCGATTTTTTACTTTATTTCTTTATGGTCTGTTAATGTTTGTATATTTTAAGTGTGATATTTTATCTCTGATGATAATAGATCCCTTAATTGAGCAACATGCGAGATAGTTATAATCAAGAAAAAACATTTTAAAGCAGTAGGCAAATGTCAAATAAATATTCTACGTCCAATTTTTATACTCCCTGCTGAGTTCTGAAGCAGCATGACGCCAAGCAATAATGAGGATTAAGTTAAGGACTTCATTAACTTCATTTGTTGCCTTCATTATCATCCAAACCTTTGATGACCTTTTTCAATTTCACAGTAATAGTTATGCCTCACCATTATTATTATCACACAGTTGTAAAATTAAAATTAGATCAGACTGTGAACAATTAAGGTACAGTAAAAGTTATGCTTACTATAATCTGCGCCTTTCAAAAGCTATTCACTATTCAATATATATATCGCGAGTACAAGTAACCAATTTTATTGCATATAAAAAGCTGAAAATGTTTCAAATTTATTTTTACTAGTGTAGTATAAATAGCAGTATAGGAGTTTTGTGGTTAGTAAAGCACAATAATAATTATGATTAGTGACATATACCAAGTATTTACATAGAATGCTATGCCTAGCAAATTACAATACTCAAATTATATCCCTTTACAAATTATTTATATCACAGCATTGTTGCATCATTTAAAATAAAAAAATATAGTTTATGACCTTTAAAGCTATAACTGTATAAAATTTATACACATCCATTTTAACACTTTTTTTGATACAACGTGAGTTTCCAAAAAATGTACACTTATTATAATTATAATGCATTATCCTTACAGGTTATAATTCAGATAAATTGATAAAGTTGAAAGAAATATTCAAAATCGATAGCTTTGTTTAACAAACATATTTTCATTTTTTAAACCGTACTTTATAAAGCATAAAGTTTTCATTTTGAGCAAAAATGCAAAACGCACTCTGCAAACCGCTACCTGCATGATGCACCCATGTGTATTGGACGTCCACACGTATCTGTGTTGATCCCAATTAATTCAAGGACTTTCGACCAGGACGCAATATATTGAGGGATTCAAAAACTACTTACGATTATGTAAGCATCAGTATAATTACGATCAAAGTAGAATTTAATTTAAGCCCAAATAATTAATATACGTATAATGTAATCAGTTTCTATCAACAATGTAATTACTTTTGATATAAAATTTTGAGAGCGAAAAATGGCTTCCTCTACAAAAAGTAAAAATTCCACACTAAACAAGTTACTTCGGTACCGTTGGCTACTTCAATTTAGAATTTTAAAGCCATATCCAAGTGTAATGAGATTTTTAGTAAGTGTTGGAAGCAAAAGACTGAAGCTATCTCCTCTTTCGTATAAGAGATACCTACATAGTGTCATTAACCGTTACATCTATTTTTTAACATATTTCATATTTCAGGCATTAGCTCATAATACAGTTATAAATAAATCATCAGGACACCAAATTTGGAATAAATTCAGTTGACTGTCAATAGTTCTACTGAACTCAATTATATAGAACGCTACGTGACTTTAGTTGACGTCTTATAGTACCAGAAGGGCTTGTTAACTTGCTTCCTTTATTTGCCCTACTATCGAGATCAACTTCCTTAAATGGTTCATAGACTGTTTTGGTAAGTTGTTGCCGGTTTTCTTTACGTTGAATTTTTTTTTCACATTCAATATCGGCTTGTAAACTAGTAAATTGTATCTTTAAATCTCTGCTTTGTTTCGATAATGATTCCTAGACAGATAACATCAAATTAAGCTTAAACGTCAATGATATTCTCAAAATTAGTTACCAGATGTCTCAGCAGATCATAATCTACCGTCTGCTCTACTGTTGGTTAGAAGTGTTATCTACTTCAATGCTGAGTAATTGCGTGTCTGACATAAAGTCTACTACAGTAGATTGATGTTACAAATGAAATTGTAAAAATACAGGTCAACTAAAATGGACTTTATAAGCGTTTATATCATACATATACTTAATACCTAGGATCTCGTAAAATTAGGAATTTTTACTTATCTGCTATTATCTTGACCAGTAGATGAATCAGAAATACAATCAATAGTATTGTGAAATTTTTATTTCATATCTACAGTATTTTCTATAATAACTAGTGCACCCGGGCGTATTTAAGATTTCGAGTTCCTCATGGACCTTACTCGTACTTTTACTAATTTTTAATTTATGTACTCGCATATCAGAGTACGTATGTACTGTAACATGCACACTCACACACAATCTTGTTATTACTAAGAGTGCTAGTGTCATTCAAACTGCAACGATTTGCATTTTCAAGTAATCGGCAAGCTCTCTAAAGTAGCGAAATTTGCTCCGTTTCAGTATCGCAATGTTAATACATCATTATTATTAACGAGCAATAAGAAATTTGAAAATTAGTTCAGGTAGCAAGATAGGGGTGGATATGCGAATACTTTGATACGAGCATATTAGCTAACATTAGCACCATACTCTTCGATTACACGTAAATAAATTACTGCACTCCTATTTTAATCAATGGAACCAAGTGTCAACGAGTATCAACGTGAATAGTTAGCTTATTTAATTGGCGTGTAATTTAATTGAATAGTATATCTTATCCATCAGTAAATATTCGTCAATTATTGCTGTAGTTCATCTAGGTTTACCATTTTACCATCATCGTCAATTATGAATAGTACTGTTGAATTTGGTGAGACATTTTGTTTATTGTTGATTGGGTTATTACTGTACTGTATTGTACCGTATGAATTGTCTTTCCAAAGTCATACTACACGGAAGTTATCGTTGTAATATAAAAGTCTTTAATTAACGAATAGAATTGGATTGACAGTAAAACAGATTTCGTTATGATCTACAGTATAGTTGGAACATAGTCAATGGATTGATCATAAAAGTAAAGGGATGTCATCAGTACCAGGTTTGATATCGTTATTAATATAGTGTACGATAATTCATAATTGCGAGACATTACTTTACTGTACAGTACACTACTAGAGTGCTACAGTCAAATAAAATATCCTGTTGTTATGATAAGGTGAAGAGAAATTGCAAAAGTACCAGCGTACAGGGTACAATAAGCCGTTTAAAATAAGTGATGGCTGACATGATAAACTCTAGTTTAACCTACTGTCTATCGATATAGACACTAGGGCAAATAAGCTTGGCTCAATTATTCCTATTCATTAAAAAATTTTCCTTCTCGCTTACTGCACACTTGTGTTTATTATTGTAACGATCAGTATTAGACGACTTACAAATTCGCTACACAACCATTTAATAGCGTCATCAATATTTCTTTTCCTTTCATCAAAGCTTAATTTGCCGGGATCAACGGTGGATTTATGCATTTCTTGAATGTTGGCAATAAAAAACAGACTGTGGATGATTGTATAACTTGAATATTTATTTTCTTTCGCCGAATCTGTCGATTTTATTGCACCAGTCTGTCTCGACTGCTTGTCATGACGTAAAGTCGACTACAGTATATAGTACTGTAGAAGCCTACAGTATTACTGTACAGTACTGCACAATACAGTAGAAAGTAGCCAAGTTCAACTCTACGACTGTAGTCATGGCTACATATTTGAAGGGAAAAAGGCCAGGGACTACTCGATGCGATTTTATGCGATGCATTATAGTAGTAGAAAGCAGCCAAGTACAACTCTACTGCTGTAGTCATGGCTGCATATTTGAAGGGAAAAAGGCCAGGGACTACTCGATGCGATTTTATGGAAAGCATTTTAGTAGTAGAAAGCAGCCAAGTACAGTCAGCGGGACATTGGACAGACGCTGACGTAGATACTCTGAATGATATCTTCCTTCATTGCAGGCAATCCTAGTCTTGATGTACAGTACTGTAATACTATGTCATACGGTAGTAAAAGCAAGAGAGATGGCTGGCAAAATTGATGTCACCATCACTTGCTTGATATATTACGACGAAATACGCGATGACTACAGTATGCCGAAGTGCATAATCAAATCTACTGTACTGTACAGCAGTATGGATCAGTTAAATGGACAACGTTGATATTGTACGATATCTTCCTTAAAGGTTAATTCATTGCAGGTAATCCTAGTCTTGAAGCAGTAATGTATCGTATCGTAGTAAAAGCAAACAGAGATGGCTGGCAAAATCGAAGTCACCATGACGTAGTTGATATATTGCGACGAAATATGACGATGACTATGCCCAAGTGCATAGTCAAATCTACTGTAGTATGGATCAGTTGAATGGACAACGTTGAAATATATCTTCTTTAAAAGTTAATTCATTTCAGGTAATCCTAGTCTTGATATACTGTAGAACTGTATCGTATAGTAGTAAAAGCAACACAGATGGCAAGCAAAATGGATGTCACCATGACGTGGTTGATATTTTGCGACGAAATATCATCATGATCAAGGTGACTCGTAAACGACGTTCTCCCAAACTGTACGACTGTCATGGAAGAGTATGGAATAGTGACATTATTTTTGCTCACACTGAATATATTACACTGCACTGTCGTGCATCTTCAAGTCTGGTATGGATAAGTCCAATTGACAGTCGCTGACGTTGATACTGGATGATAGGTTAATTCATTACGCTTAACTCTACCCTTGCTGCAGTACTGTTTCCTATAGGAGGAGAAGCAAGCAAGGTAGCTGGCAAAATGGATGTCACCATAATGTGCTCGCAGAGGTGCATCTGCTGCCGACTTTTATTCACTACTGTTCTGTATGGTACTGAAGAGACAGGCGCTGATATTATTATTGTACCCTATCATGAGTCTTCATTCAGTTTAATCCTATTCTCATTGCAATACTGCATTGTACATGCGACCAGTATCCTATGTCAGCGAGATGTAGCTTGCAAAATTAATGTCACCTTCAGGTGCTCACATGTGCTACCTATTCGGAACTAGTTTTGACTAGTCTACTACAGCCCATACTCAACCTACAAGCCATCAACAGCTCAAAGGGAGCAGGAGATCCAACCAATAAATGACAACGTCTACAAGAGCATTTTCGATCTTTTGCCAAGTTATTGCAGCAGCTGAAAATCATTAAACTCGAATTGACACATCGATTAAGAGATGAGTGACAAGAAAGAGCAAAGAAATCGAGGGCTTGCCGATGATATTATTGGTGATGTGCATGCCAAACCAAGCGGCAGAAATAAGAGGCGAAAACGTGTCGAAAAAACTGATCCGGTAAGCTTCAATCAATGCGCAATGGATGGTAACAATTTAGACTTACTTTCTTACCCTACCAGTAGATCATTGTATCTATATCACTTTGAGATTAGTTCAGTATTCATGAGATGTATAAGATTGCATACTAGTTGAACTTTCTATGGATGGATGCCAACTAGAATCAATTAACTCGCTGTAATGCTTCATGGATCGCAACGAGAATGAAACAGCTCGCTGTTGAATACTTATAAAATGCTCTTGATCGATAATTCCTCCAGCTCATTCGTGCTCTACAATATAGACGAATGACCTCCAAATCACAACTAGGTTCCACTTACAAACAGTAATGATAACATAATCTTCTATGAATTAGCGTGCAATTGCAATAGGATTACAACTGCCTAGGTATGAAATTTTTCACTTGTATTCACTACAATTTTGGATACAATTGATCAATTATTTCCATCATTCCCTTGCAAGCCATCCATTCCCCTGTCCTTATAAGATGCTGAAAACTAACACTAGGTAGCGTTGTAGCGGAGTCAACAGATGTTACGATGCGTAAGCTCGTTCTAATGATTAAGACCACTTTTTAGTTAGTTAGTCGGTTAGTTAGCCAACTAGTTTGTCAATTGCTATTAAATTGTCCAGACTATAATCTTGGTTGTCAAGATTTCTTCAGTAATAAATAGTAATCAATCTCGGACTACCTCGTCTACATTATACTATAGTATTCGGTCGTTGGAACTGAATTATTTGGTGATATAACGAATCTTGCCTCTTTAAGTCAGTAAGAGGCGTTCTTCATAAGCATTAGCGTGTGCAGACTACTTTGTCACTAGTAGTGTATGACAACAGACTACAGTGCTATCTAGTTCATATTTATCCATCATTACTGTTCATGCTGACGATCAGTGTATGGATATGAAGTATTCCTGCATTACCTTCAATAAATGTTTGTTACAAAGGCTTACCCTAGTCAGAATGGACACCTGATCCAAGATTCCCAATAGACGGGTAACACTGTTAACTTTTGGTTGCACTTTTTATTGTCGACGAAGTACTGCCTGCTATTTGTATTTTGTCATGATGGAACAATTCTGCCTCAATTTCTAACAAAAGAAAGATAGCTCATATTACCTCAAGGCTAGAACTTTCAATAGGACAGTTCTTACTCAACATGTAATTGTATTCTGGGTTCATCAACAGCATAAAATGAAGCTACAACTTTGCCAAGTAGTTCATCAGAAGAAAAAAAATGAATTACTCTATGACTCTAATTTGCCTCACACATAGTATCTGATAGTTAAACCTTCAACGCCTATTAAAACGACTTTATGACAAACTTACCCCCAATTCTGGTTACTTTATCATAACTATGAAGAGCAATGTTGTTACTTCATCATAACTATGAAGAGCTATGTTGTACCGTAGAAGAGGTACAGTGCTATGCGTTTATCATAGGAGTCTCATAGTGCTCTTAACTGAAACCGACCTCTATATTCCATATCATAAAATCCGCTTTACTTTGCACAATAAATTACGTAAATGCCAACTTCACCTATTTCACGATTCTAAATTCATTTATTTAACAATTAACTACGCAATTTTAAATTTACAATACATGTACATATTTCTATTTCAATTTACAAACCGTTGTTACTACTTTGACAATGCTCACGCACAGTATCCCCAATTTTCTAACTTGTAATCATTAAAATAAAAGTATGTTACAGAAAGACTATCTGGCAAAATTCTCCAGCAAGCCAGGGAACAACAAGATGAAATCGAGGAGGGATTAGATGATGTTCACCCTGCACAAAGAAAACGAATTAAGAAACGTCCTCAACCCACTACTAGTCTAGGAGACCATTTCGACAATGATAGTGAAGCTGATGGTGAAGCTAATAGCGACGAAGGATCAGATGTAGAAATTTCCGAGGCAGACCTAACCGGAGCGATCGTAAGTACTATACTGTGTTATCGCTTTACCATATACAAATTAATCTTTGGTCAATCGGGCGATTTTGCAGGATTACAGATTCATAACTTACGATGTATTTGACATTTAGAAACTAGACAAGGAGGATGAAAAGGCATTGCAATTATTTATGTCAGTAGAGCCTGATAAAAGAATGACTTTAGGTGATTTTATCAAGGAAAAGATTAACGAAAAACATATCGAATTCCAAAGCCAAATGTCAGGTTGTTGATGAAAACAATAAACATAGAAATACCTCTTCGAAAGAATTTCAGACGTAAATTTATGTACAGAAAGTAGATCTTTTTTAATGGAATTGGTTTTTATCATGCTATTTTGACAGATAGTGGATCAATAACAAGGCATGCACCACTAGATCAGAAATTAGTCATGTACTTCAGAAAGTAAGAGTTAAAATTTATTCGATTAAACGCTTTTGATGTTCGACTACTAAAAACAGAAAAAATATACCAGCATTTGATCGAATTGTACTAAATATTCCAATACAATAAGTTAATCTCGTCAAATTTAAACGACCTGTGAATGTAGAGTTGGAGAACTGCTAAGCAAGTTTAGATCTGGACGTTTGCCTAAGCCATTCAATTATTTAGCCTGTGTTCCAAACTGGGAAGAGGTAAGCAAGATTATATTGGTCATTGTTTCATTTATGTACCTTTATTCCAGTCGTCAATGAGTGTAAAAAGGTTACAACATTTTCTGGTATGTCTATCATTCTACTACTGTACTATTGGGTAAACATCTAAATGGTTAAAATTCTTCTTGTAGCTGGTTTGCATTACCGAGCCTGAAAATTGGACCGCAGCGGCAATGTACGAAGCGACTCGAATCTTGTCTTCAAATCTTACAGCAAGAAAAGTCCAACGATTCTATAATCTGGTACTACTACCGAGAGTTCGCGATGATATTGCTGAGTATAAACGTTTAAACTACCATCTATACATGGTTAGTATATTATCATCGTGACTACTTTCTGCTCCATTGAAATTCAGATTTGCTCTTAAATTTATGTCAGCAAATTAAACCAGATCACTATTTTCAGGCTCTTAAAAAGGCACTATTTAAACCATCGGCGTTTTTCAAGGGTATTTTACTTCCGTTATGTGAGGTTCGTATAATTACAAATGTTAACCTTTGAATTTAACATATTAGCCATCTATAAAATTAGGAAATGAAATTAACTTTCAAAAATAAAATATTTTTAGGCTAGAAATTGCTCATTACGTGAAGCTGTCATTATTGGAAGTATTTTAAATAAAACGAGTATTACTTCACTTCATGCATGTGCTGCTATTTTAAAACTCACAGAATTGGAATACACAGGTATTTGATGTATGAGAAACTACATCTTCTCTTGTCAGTCTATATTATCCTACCGGTTATCAAAGTTTGGACATTAGCTAAAAATAATAAATCATTCTTCCGAATTTTATATAGGTGCAAATAGTATTTTTATCAGAATTTTACTTGATAAAGGCTATACCATGCCATATAAAGTTATCGATGCTTTAGTATTCCATTTCCTAAGGTAAGCCTGTTAAAATGTTTCATTATCCCCAATGGACGACTTGGTAATTACTTAAAATTATTTCCTGCAGATTTAGGTCAGAGAAAAGACGGCTGCCAGTATTATGGCACCAGTGCTTCCTAACATTCGTGCAAAGGTACTGTATATCAAACGCCGTACAGCCTTATAGTTATAGGCCATTACTTAGCTAAACGATCATTATATTATGCAACAGTTATTAATCTATTACTATGTTTTTATTCTTGCAACGGCTGAAGATATAAAGAAGATATTTCTAGCGATCAAAAGACTGCATTATTAGATATTTGTGAAGTGCAAAAGCATAATCAGGTATGCTGCTATAACCCATTGATAATGCTAGGTAACTAGCAAATTTTAAAAACTAATATAAAATTGTAATTAGATATCAAGTGAAATTCGCCGTGAAATAACAAATTCAAAGTGTCGAGACCTTGAGATACCAGAAGATGCAATGATGCCATAAGAGATATATTATTGAATGGTAGTACTAACATTTACATGCTGTGAACAGTATTGTACAGTATTCATATTGCGTAATCGACTTTTATAAAGCATGGATGCATTATAAAATCAACATTGTATGTTACACAACGATAACGGAATAATTTTAGAATGAATGAAGCTCCTGACATTTCTATGCAGTAGATTTGATGACAAGAAAATTACTGTAATCTTGATTACATACTATACGAACTTAATTACTGGTATGTATGATATTATATTACGAAATAAACGAACAATCAATCAGTCATAAGGAAATAACATCGTTTATTCACAATTGGTTGTATAACACAGCATCAGAGGCGACTTCTTATCTTATCCTTTAATATCTGAGATAATGGACTATTCCAAGATTAGGAATTCAATATTGCGAGAAATTCGACTTATCCATTACTGTAAAGAATCTACTTCACTGTATGCTAAAGTAATCTTATCGCACTCAATCCAACAGAAAAGCTTTTGGACAGTCTTTTTCATCAACCTAACAACTAAAGTAGAAATTCACATATGTTCACAGTAGGAATTGAGTGTAAATATGTATGTAAGAGAGAACCGATACTTAATTGTGAAGTATAAATAAAAATGTAATTATTATGTATAATGTTAGAACCCAAAACTATAAATACCGAATCTTAGTAATAATAAGTTAGTTATAAACTACAAGTTTATCCTCTAGGTGCGTGCCTCCCGTGACTTGCCACACACGTCTTATGGTAAAGCCACATTAACTGGAAGACCTGTTAGAGTAGGTACACCAGCACCCTTTCTAGGATATTCCAATATGCGTGTAGTGATTTCAGCTAATTACAGTAGTTTTGTGTAGGCAATGGAATGATAGCATGTAGTGTAGAACTGTATGTCTTAATAAAGTATGTCCTATATAAGGCCGTAGTTGATTGCCATATTAAGTAGTGCTATTAAGCAATGTACTAATGTGATTGATGACTCCTATGTACTGTAGACGAGCAATTGACGATAATTTGTATAAGTTGTATAGAGTTGTTATCGTGGAGGCTAAGTCTATTATCCGGTTTATCTTAGCCACTTTCGACTGTTATTATGAGGGGAAGAAATTGGAATTCTTCTCTGACGGACGACGCACGGACGTTAATAAACTTAACTGTTATAAGTCAATTATACGGTGTTGACTATTTTGTGTCCTATTAGGGATTTGCTCCATTTTAACAACTCAGAATTTAGAGTTGAAGGATTACGAACCTAGGGCTAATAACCCGTACACTACAATGCGCTATTTTATATTTATAAACATTAAATTACTTTATCGCTAATAAAGTCAATGTATAGAACTAATCGAAAATAATTGTAGATATCAGCTTTTAAGATTGCTTTGTTGTTAATCGTAAAATCAGATATAAACGTAATGTAGTACAAGGTTTGACACGGCGGCTAGCATAAGCGAAGCAATTTTTTTAATTACAAACAAAGCATTATGGGCTGAAATTTATACAAAGTGATATAACTGCCTACTGAGTATAATAAGAGCAACCGTCTTGTTAGAAAAGCCTGATACGCTTGTTCAGCCAAATACTTTATAAAGAGTAAATTTTGTCGCATTTTTTACCGTTAATTGACCCGAGAGTTTCCTTTAAATATTAGTATAAATTCATCAAATACACCTAAGTAGTTTTAAATGATGAACTACATAAGTATAGAAGTTTATACTAAAATGATCAAATAGTAAACTTCTGGCTCATAATCAGACTAATAATTACTAACAGTTCACGGCTTCGTTCTAACTAAATTTATGCTTCAAAGCCGTGTTTAGACTTTCTCATGATGAATAATTAGTTAGCTAAAAGAATTTCTGAAGTGTCGTGTTTCCTTCGCCACTTAGTAATCAGAAAGAAAACTTCAAATAAATACTGCATCCAGACTATCAGTCAATAATGATATCAGCTAGATAATCTCAAAAATATAAATGCGATAACCAGAGGCCATAATACTGATATACGTATTTAGAAACGCTATTGCATCATGCTTATTAAATATCATCACAAATATTAATTTTAGCAGAAAGTCATCAGACGATTTATTTGCACTATAAACTCGCAGAGATTACGCTATATCACAGATTGAATTTGCAACAACTTGCCAGCCAGAATAATCTATTGTTTGGCTGAACTTTAGTAATATTCAACCGGACTGTAATTAGCCCGAGACTGGAAAGAGTTTATCTCGGCAACCAGCCAATAATCTTATCTCTATAATCGCTTAAATAAATATAACAAACTTATGCAAACAAATCGAGATTTTTATCGGAATAGGCGGATCTGTACATGAAGTTTCCAACTCATTAATGCAGTCTAGAGTGATTATTATGTTGATTTTTATTATTTCTGCTATCTATAATAAGATAATATACAACTTGCTATAGGTAAATTTAAAAAAGATATGAAAAAGAGCTGAAATTAATACCATATTCGACTACTTTTTGGATAGAAAATCCTATGGTTATGTGCATTGAAGTATTGATGAGGGTAAAATTATTTCTATTTAATAAATATCTACTCCATAGTAAATGATTATTAATAATATGGATATCGCTATTAAAATAATTTCGATATGCTTTTAGATATCGTTCTACCGCTAATCGAATACCCTTGGACAAAGTGTCTAAAAATGTAATCATTTATCGTAAAATTTAGCATCAGACTCCATCGTGAAGATGTTTAGCTATCATTATTAACGCGTATGATTTGCTGATAATTCAGATATTGTTGGTAATTTTCATTGTTGCAGTAGCAGAAACTTAAATATTGCCCTCATAATTGAATATAAAGTATTCTATAATTGAATAGAAACAATCTACCGACCAAAATCTACATAAATCTGTTTTATTAATCATATAAGAAATCAGATACTTTCAATTAATTGCGTATCAGAGCAATAATTTCATCTCTGTTTCTGTGCAGATTTTTATCTATTCACTGTACTATAAGACAATCACAACATTATATTTGATATATTATTGCATATTGTATTTCAAAAGCAAAAAAATATCAACTGCTTTCTCGAAAAATTTCATTGCTTAAAGAGATCGATGAGAAAATTTTCAGCTTTCATCTCTACTTGTTCTATTTTTTGTTATGGAAAATTTATTTACTATTTAATCTATTTAGAAAAGTATCCTTGGCTAAAATTTGAACACAGTTTATGTCTATTATTTTCTACCTATTGAATCATTCAGTCTTAGTTAATTATTCCAGTTAACACATTTAGATATATAAATATAAAGTCAAGAGTAGTTAAGATCCTTTATTTTAAAAATCTCGCCTCTAGTTTCTTTTACAGCATTCCTTTTTGCCCAAGACTTGGAATTAAGTTTATAAGGATAAAAGTAACGATAAAGGTTAAATTTAAATTCTAATACGTTGCTTATTATTATCTAGTGTTATGTTGCCTCGATAATTTTTGCTTATACCTTTTCTGATTCTATCTTATGAATCAATATCATCAATCCAGATCGCACAAATTTAAATCCTATTTTTTCTGTAAGTAACAGCATAATTTGATGAGTACTTTCTCTGTTTATAAGCCATTGACATTCTCGTCTATGATGATAGTCAGTGCAAACTTAGCTATCAATATGGATATTAACTTTTGATTTGGAGCGGAATATCTGTCATTAATTGTTACGTACCTAAACTATCCAGGGTAGGCCATACCAACATATAAATTAGATAAATTTGATAGCCTAGTCCCATTTTGATCCAATATGCCATGAAACACTTAATTTATTCTACAGTATTAGGATTATGACAATGTGAATGGTAAAAACTACATGTTATTTTACCCATTTTCAAATTGCCAACCTTTATAACATACCCAGTCCTGACTGAAGCATGATTACTTAACACATTAATCTTTCGATTAACGTAGCAGATTTTCACCTTAGTCAATTTGCTTGTATAATATTTTAAATATCAAAAGCAGTGAACGGAGAGCGAGTAAAATTGTGCCAGGTACAAAGCAGTACAAGTATACAATTTATTACAAGAGGTAACTAGCTGGTATACAGTAGATCTATTCGATTTGAATAACTGGGCGTAGCTAATGAAAAGAATATACATTATTGTCCATAAATTCTATTTCTAATTCATGCTAATTGTAAATTTTCTGATATTGAATTCAATGCAATCCTAGCTATTGCTCAACTTTTGCTTAATCAAACTAAAGTGCTATGAGAAAGTATTATCCGAGTAAAGGCGACGGCTAATTTACGTTCTATTCTAGTAGAGGACAAAGGCGACGTCTTATCCTTTAATCATTGGCGAACTTTACCCTCTTATACTCGGATTTTAATTAATTTATTGTTAATTTCCAGTAGGACGTATCTTCGACTGAGTTATCTTGTATTACGATAGAATAATGATCCGCAGACAGGTTATGTCATAATTCACACTCAGCAGGATAGCATAAAGTAATGATCCTTGAAATGTTGCTTATTTTACATACGCGTATGATATCAAAAAGCAATATTCATTTCTAGTATTGAACTGCTTTATTGTCAAGCCTATCACAAGTGCTTCCAACAAACAGAAATACTTAGTCGTGAGTTGCTTACTTTAACTACGGCTACTACGACATCGGCAACAATATCAATATTCTAACGTTAAATCAATTTGTATTTTATCGACAACGCGATCTAGTTCCTTGCCGACGTAAGTATAAATTGATGATTTCCGATAGTTGCTTACTTAAATGCCATTTTAAAAGTATCACAAACAGTTTATTCCGTAACTTATTAGTATTTTATAGCAATGTAGTGTCTTTAATCAACATAGATACGTGCAGAGAATAATATTTAAAAAGTAGCTGATTTAGTTAAAAGTAGTAGATGCTTCCTATAAAATTGATTTAAAATTTTATTGACAAGCCAACAAATACCTATGATGAAACATATCAATCCCTTCATGATTCTAGACGAATTGTCTATTTTGA